AGTAGTACTGGTAGTAGTAGTAGTAGTAGTAGTAGTAGTAGTAGTAGTAGTAGTAGTAGAGGTGTGACCGGCGCTCCCGAGCAATCGTGGAGCGCCCGGGGCCCCAGCTTATTCTTACATATATCCATACAACTGATATACCTCCATATATTCTTCATCCATATAAGCATTCAATGGGTGTCCTCCATTGACTTGTGGGGTGTCCCCACAACTACCCGATGTGTTGGACAGTTGATGCTTGAACGGTTCAAGTTGAACCTAGCGATCCCGGAACGTAGTTTCTGAACTTCTGACGTATGACCCCCCGCCATTGGGTCTTCAAGCTGCCTCATATTCGGCTGAGATAATTGTTTGGGATACTGGGACAGCAGTTCCGCACAGAATATGCCTGGGGGAGGGATCATAGGTATCCTCGCGTCCACTTGAGGCGCTCGCTCCGGTGGATCTGGAACCACTTCCAACCGAGCTGGTGGTGCCGAGTCTACAGATCTTCCACCACTTAGAGGTGATGATGACAATGCCATTATCTTTTGAGCTGCCAGTTGATATGGATCAGTTCATCTAGCAATACCTTGCTGTCCCGCTCAACAGCTCAGTGGCTTCTGTAGGAATCCCTAGGCGTGATCCTGTCGTTACGCTGCGTGATAACAGGATCTCGCTGTGTGGCTCACGCAGCGCGCAACGCGTGCCATACTCACTTGTGGACGTGAATGGCTGTAGTGCTCGAAGCGCTACATGGTACAAGGTTACTTCGAAGAGCGAAGCACAGGCTTGCGATAGCCATGGCCAGACAGATAGCAGAACCAGTATGCAACATCTCTTAATTAGCATAAAAAGTCTAAGGACTGCCAGGAGATGCCTATTGTGCTCACCGAGAGCTGCACGCATGCCCACGGCGAATGCTGCACATTAAGCTAGTACAAGGCACACTATTTTCAGGGAACCACCGTGGTAAAAGTAAAGGATGATAAGGTCCTTATCATAAGTAGGTCGATCGCCTGGAGTGGATTCACATAACAACGATATAGCTAGTACGGGCAGCAAGCTTCAGTTCGATCGATCAGATGATATACTGCTCATGCCGTGAGCCGTGACCGTCGACAATAGTTACAGTTAGCGGAAGTTCTGCTAACAATTCGAGGTGTCCTCCCTTTATCTACAGTACGCGCCATCTAGAGACCGAAAATACGTGTGCAGAGATAACTTTTTCTACAGATCGACTTTGAAGCAGAGATTTTGATTGTGAGGCCCTCTAATACAGTTAATAACTGTCAGTTATATTGCATGGAACCTGTTTTCGAATAAACACTTTTTTGCACGTGCCCAATCCCGGTACTGAACCTGCGCCATCCGTAATTAACCCAATCTACACTTGTTGAACATCCGAACACATAATGGGACTACACAGAATGATAGGTTGGATCCTTACAGCACATTACGCACAGTATTCTACAGAGAAAATTGTAGAAAATTATAGCGAGAAACATTCAGTGCCATCATCGCCTGCTGTACTTGCAGGTTGTCACGCTCTAATAGTACAGGTGATGCGACTTAATGTTTGCGCTTCTCCTTCCTCAGGCTTTCAGTCTCCTTCAAGTCTTTCCTTTGACGTAAAGGCGATCTCAGGGTAATGTCTGAGATACTCGCGGCGTGGCAGGGCTAATCCAAGCAGTCATTGTTAAATCGAGCAAACCCTGTAATATCAAGCAGATCTTGTTATCTCAAGCTTGCTATAGCGCATGGGGGATACACCAGGAATGGTGAAGGGCTTCGCGAGCGAAGCGAGCGAAGAGGAGAAGCAAAGCGCAAAGAAATTTAACATTTACCACCAGTATGACCCTTGTCATATCACTCCAAGTGAAGCATTTTTTGGAATCCGGAAAGAGCTAGCTGAGTAACTCAATGTTCTAGGTAATAACCAATAGTTATTGAATATAGGACGTTGGGAACGTTGGGACCTGGAAATGTGCCCACATACCCAAGCGAGCCAAGATGTGAGGGGATTGTACTAGCAACGGCGCGCTGCTATTAGTTATGATAGTACTACACCCAATTATCGGAGTTCGTTTTATACAATATTATATTATCGATATGTGATACGCATATTATGTGAT